GTTTGATAAAGAAGGGAACCCGATTTCGGGAAACGCCATGAGGGGTCCGTGCCAGGCCCCATTCTAAACTGGGGCATTTCCAGCTCAGGCCATTCCTTCACCCCTGTACAATGTCTGTCCCCCGCCACAGCCAGTAGTGCCACAGTAGATTTACGCTGCACAAAAGCTGTGAGCCTTCTACCTGGGGAATCCCCGCAAAAGGTCCCAGCAGGAGTCTGTGGACCCTTGCCAGCAGGGACAATAGGATTACTTTTAGGAAGGTCTAGTTTAAGTTTAAAAGGGGTACAAATACATACAGGAGTCATTGATTCAGATTACAATAGGGAAATTCAAATTACGATATCTACTTGTGTTCCCTGGAAAGCAGACTGAGGAGAGCATATAGCACAGCTCCTGATTGTGCCATATGTAGGAATGGGAAAAAGTGAAATTAAATGAACAGGAGGATTTGGAGGCACAAATAAACAAGGCAAAGCAGCTTATTGGGTAAATCAAATTACTGATAAATGTCCTACCTATGAAATAACTATTCAAGGAAAGAAATTTAAAGGTTTGGTAGATACAGAAGTAGACATTTCAATCATTTCTCTACAGCACTAGCCATTCACATGGCCAATTCAACCCGCTCAATTTAACATAGTTGGAGTTGGTAAAGCCCCTGAAGTATATCAAAGTAGTTATATTTTTGCATTGTGAAGGGCCCGACAGACAACCTAGGACTATTCAACCAATTATAACTTCTGTACCGATAAATGTATAGGAAAGAGATTTATTACAACAATGGGGAGCACAAGTTCTAATTCCAGAACAATTATATAGTCCTCAAAGTCAACATATAATGCATGAAATGAGGTATGTCCCTCGTATAAGACTAGAAAAAAAAAATTGCAAGGTTTGAAAGAACCGCTTCAAGTGGAAAGAAGCTAATCTTCTCGCCAAAGATTAGGATATCATTTTTGATGGCGGCCATTGTTAAGCCTCCAGAACCTATACCTTTAAAATGGTTAACAGAGACGCCAATTTGGATAGAACAATGGCCGCTAAGTAAAGACAAACTGGAGGCTTTAGAGAAATTAGTTACTGAACAATTAGAAAATGGGCACACAGCACCAACATTCTTCCCCTGAAATTCTCCAGTTTTCGTAATTAAGAAAAAATCAGGTAAACGGAGAATGTTAACTGACTTAACTGTCATCAATTCAGTTATACAACCTATGGGAGCATTACAGGCAGAATTGCCTCCTCCTGCTATGATTCCAAAAAACTGGCCTTTAATAGTCATAGATTTAAAAGACTGTTTCTTTACTATCCCTTTAGCTGAGCAAGACTGTGAACGGTTTGCATTTACAATTCCTGGGGTAAACAACCTACAGCCTGCTAAGCATTTTCATTGTTTTACAGATAGGTCTAGTAATGGTAAAGCTTCTTATTCTGGCTTGAAAAGTTTTCCAGTCTCCCTATAAAAAGCAAAGCTTGTAGCTGTAATTAAGGTATTGACTGTTTTTGATATGCCTATTAATGCGATTTCTGATTCTTCATACATGGTTCAGTTCACAGAGTTAATTGAGAATGCTCAGTTATGATTTCATACAGATGAACAACTGATAACAAAAACAAAAAAGGGGGAGAAACGGATTATAGCACAGCCCATACACAATTGAATTTAGCATTATTAACTTTAAATTTTTTGAGCCTGCCCAAAGGCCAGATGTTATCAGCAGCTGAACAGCATCTACAGAAACCAGCTGTAAAGACAGAAGCAGAACAACTGATTTGGTGGAGAGATCCAATAACAAAAAATTGGGAAATAGGTAAAATTATAACTTGGGGTAGAGGTTATATTTGCGTTTCTCCAGGTCAAAATCAACAGCCGATTTGGATATCATCAAGACACCTGAAACCTTATCATGAGCCAGATGACAAGGAAGAGTTTCTGGGAGCATCCCGAGGACCCCCTGGTTGCAGCCATGTTGAGGATGATGCTGAGGAGGACCCCAACTGTCACAAGCAACACTCATTGAACAAAGTCACCCACCTGGGGACAGATCAAGAAGCTGTCACAGATGGCAGAAGAAAACCTAAGGAAAGTAGGACAGCTAGTCACAATGAATAATTTAATGGCAGCTATGATAGCGAAGATCACCATTGCCGCGAGTATTCCTTCAACAAGGGCTGACACAGAGAACAATTACACTTATTGGGCATATTTATCAATCTTGGCTGGCAATAATGCCTAGATGTAATCACTCTATGATGCAGTTACGCATGCTTTCTGATCTCAGTATTTACCATAAAAAATCTGCACCTATAATAGAGGTGTATCGCCCTCAAAAACCTATTTGTAAACAAAATTGAACCTGACCAGAAAAAATGAACGTACTTGTTTAGGAAGATTGCACTGCAGAACAGGCAGAGGTGCTGCACAATGATTCCTATGGTATCACTATTAATTGGTCCCCTAATGGGATGTTTAGCTTAAATTGCACCTCTCAGTCTGCATGCCACAGCAACACTATGTTCCGCTGATCTGAACAAAAGGGTCAGATGGTAGAAATGAAAAGAAGTACGGCAAGAGTTCCTATTATCTGGAACCATGGCGGTATAGTGGCACCTCAATCTCAAATGATATGGCCCACTGTAGGAGCCATAAGGATTTGTGGAAACTATTAATAACGAGATCAAAATTTAGGAAAGAATAAAAAAGCAACTAGAAAGACACTCTACAAACTTGTCTTTGAATATTGCAAAATTAAAAGAACAAATATTTAAAGCATCCCAGGCACACCTGACCTTCATGCCAAGAACTGGAGGGCTTGAAGGAGCTGCAGATAGATTAGCAGTTAGTAACCCATTAAAATGGATAAACACACTTGGAAGCTCTGTCATTTCTATGATGATTGTGCTTTTAATCTGTGTTGTTTGTCTTTGGATAGTCGACAGATGTGGATCCTGACTCCTGCGAGAAGTAGCTAAGCTTGACAGAGCTGCCCTTGCTTTTATCACTTTGCAAATCAAATAAAGGGGACATGTTGGGAAAAGGCCCCCCAAAATCTGGCCATAAACTGACCCCAAAACTGGCCATAAACAAAACCTCTGCAGCACTGTGACATGTTCATGATGGCCATGATGCCCACGCGGAAAGGTTGGGGGTTTACCAGAATGAAGGCAAGGAATGCCTGGCCCACCCAGAGCAGAAAACCGCTTAAAGGCGTTCTTGAACCACAAACAACAGCATGAGTGATGTGTGCCTTAAGGACATGCTCCTGCTGCAGATAACTAGCCAAACCCATCCCTTTATTTTGGTCCATCCCTTCATTTCCCATAAGGGATACTTTTAGTTAATCGAATATCTACAGAAACAATGCTAATGACTGGCTTGCTGTTAATAAATACGTAGGAAGATCTCTGTTCTGGGTTCTCAGCTCTGAAGGCTGTGAGACCCCCGATTTCCCACTTCACACCTCTGTACTTCTATGTGTGTGTCTTTAATTCCTCTAGCACCACTGGGTTAGGGTCTCCCTGACCGAGCTGGTCTTGGCACCTTACCCACTTCCACTCTGAACACTGCCAAAGGTGCAGGGGCCCTTAAGAACCCCTGCACTGACCCTTGGTATCCATCTGGGGAGAGAAAGCTAGATCACACATCAATCTTTTTTAACTAGAAAATAAACATTGTCAGTACTGTCTTTGAATAAGAAGAGTTCAGATGAACTAATGACATAATTTTTCTTCAGTGTGTTCTTAAAAAGGTTTACAACTACAGTATCATTTTTAAAAAAGGGTAACTTTCAAAAATGTGTGTGTATAGTTACATCTGAAAGTAAGAAAAACTTCTGCACTATAGCACATTTTATTATAAAAGAATGGAGTTGAATACAATGATGCAGATAACCAGCTGAAGGAAAATTTTCATAGGTATAGAGTGATGTAAGTTCTAATTCTTAAAAATATGGACTTGCGGTAACACTCAAAAGTTTTTGTCACATTTCTTTATTTTGTACAATCAACTTCATCTTTAGTAGCTAAAGTATATAAGTATAGTAAGTATAATTGTTCTTTAAGACACCATGGCAGGATTCTAAGAACAAAAGATTTAAAAATAGAAATCTAACAATTTTATGTGAGCATTATCAATCATCCATGGCATCCTGCCAGTCAAGAACAGGTTCTTCTACAAACACACACTAAAATAGCATGATCTGGTCAATAAAAAGACAACTGCAATATCCAATTATGAAGACTCAAAACATTTTACTTTCTTTCCATAGTTAATTCGTTCTTAGCAGAAAGCACAATGGAAAGATATATAGTTAATACACAGAGTCTAAGGACAATTTGAAAAACGTTAACCCCCACTTAAATATAAAAGAAAATGAATATTAGATTTCTGCTCTTTCAAAATGTGCTCATCTAATTAAATCAGTCTAGAAAAGTGATCATGGAAAAATGTTGTATTCTATCTTGGGAAAGTGTATTTAAGTGAGTTAAGTGCTACTAAGGCCAAAATCACTATTCCATATATATTCTACAGAACTTATCATAAATGTAAAAAGCAGGCAGTGTGAAGCAGCAAAAAAGTTCCTAGATTTACAGTCAGAAACGGATTTTATTTTTCCAGCTTCTAGTACTAACTACACATGTGGCTGTAGGCAAGATTATTTCACCTCTCTGGACCTTGATTTCTCAACTATAAAATAAGGGGGTTAGACTTTAATTATCTCTACAGTTCCTGTCATTTCTCAAAATGATGCTCCAAAAAACCACCAGGTGTGGTGTCACATGCATGTACCCAGGAGGCTGAGGTTGGAGGATCCCTTGAGTTCAGGAGTTCAAGTCTGGTTTGGACAACATAGAGAGACTCAATGGCTACTTAAAAAAAAAAGTTACAGATTTTAAAATCTGAAACATGTATTTCAGAATTCCAGACAGATGTTTCATATACTTTATGTGAAGAATATGAATTCATCAGTTTTTAACTAAGAGACAGGGATAGTTCTTACCTGAGAGCTTATTGTCATGTAGCAAATTTCGAAGCTTACTACAAAGTTGAATCATGCTGTCCAGTTGTCTATTTATCTTCACGTCTTGTATCCAGGCTGGGGTGTAACACACTGGACATCCAGTTCCAATGCAGTCACTTACACAATTACTTTAAAAGAATTAAAAAAAAAAAACCATTCAGCAAAATCTAAGTTCCAAAAATTAAACAGTTTGAACAGAAATAAACGGAGCAGAGGTTATTCTAACATACATTAGTCAATTGTAATATACTAGTTAAATACTGTTTTAAAGAGTAAAATACGCACATCAAATCTAAAGTTGCTCATGTAATTTGCTATGAAAAGACTTTACTTAGCCTGACATTAGTCTGCATTAACTTTTCCTACAAATAAATCTGTAGCTTCTAAAGGTTACAGAGATGTAACAGAAAGATAGAACGCCTAATGTATGGTAGTCGTGCACCCTAACTTTTTCTATCTTAACATTCCATGAAAATACCTAAAACTACTGCAGAGACCGGGAAAGACCTTTTGTTTTGTTTTTGGACTAGTATCTCAAGGCTTTAAAGCAGCTTTTGGGAAAAGATCTTTGACTCTTTCAGATAATTTTAACAACTGTAGACTCAATTACCTGGGTTATCAAAGCACTAAAGTTTCAGAGTTAGAAGAGTTTTTCTAATTTTGGGGTTTTTAAACCTTTTGTAAATCTGATGAATATATATACACACTCATGTAAAAAGAGGGATTCACGATCCCCCCGCCCAAGCCCATCTGTGAATTCCAGAATAAGAATTCTATAAATCTCTTCCTTCATTGGCCTCACGAGATGGGTTCCAGTAAGACTGGGTAAGGTAACAGTTGAAAAGCCACATCTTCCCCAAGCACCACAGGACATTCCTTGTCACAGGACTCAATTCTCTGTAGGCAGACAGGATTCTTACAACATGAACTATCTTCAGACAAAACCTATGCCATTTCTAATTTTTGTATCCTTGGCTTCTAGCATGATTCCTGACAGAATCTAACTCAAAATAATTGTAAAATGAATCTGTAACCCATACCAGAGCTGGCAGAGACTTTTGGGACCACCTAATTCAAAAAATGTCACTGAGGTCAATAAATGTCAACTTTCTTTAGCAAAGGATCTTCTGTACATTTGTTCGCTAGCAGTGAAGAACTCTAACTTGGAACCCCAACACACAAAAAAATGTAAAACTGACTACTCACACAATTTAAATCATTTGTGCAATACTTAATTATCAGTAAAATACAATCTGAAATCAACTCATCAAGAACTACCACCTGATTTTTGGATGAAGAAAATGAGATCCAGTTATTCAAGTTACTAGTCCAGCACTGCATTGGTACTCAGATCAGACTAGTATTTATATATTCTGTAACATTTTATAAACTATTCCCAAATTATTTTATATACATTAATTCAGAATTCTGAAAAAAATGTCATTTTTCCATGGAGCTGTATAGTTCAGTGAGTGAATATTTCCCAAATGACCCATGTGTGATGTAATAAAACCATGCTGAGTAAAAGATAAATTCAAAGTACTAGATAAACCAATGAAATTTCATGTAACAGAGTATAAAAAATTATTGATATAGTTTCAGATTCCACACTGTGATGAACCTAAAGAAAACAGCACTTTTTGCCCAAGCATGGTGATTCATGCCTGTAATCTCAGCACTTTGGGAGGCCGAGACAGGAGAATCGCTTGAGCCCAGGAGATCAAGAGCATCCTGGGCAACATGGCAAAACCTTGCCTCTACAAAAAAACTACAAAAATTAGCCAGGTTTGGTGAGGCACAGCTGCAGTCTCAGCTCCTCAGAAAGTGAGATTGGATGATCACCTGAGCCCAGGGAGTTGAGGCTGCAGTGAGCCAAGATCGCGCTACTGCGCTCCAGCCTGGGTGACAGAGTGAGTGTCTTCACAAATTAAAAAAAAAAAACCTTGTCAAGTTTTGGTGTAGTATTAAAGAAGAATAGCCACAATTATCTAAAAAAGCTACTGAAAATACTTCAATACTTCTTCCAACTACAATTATGTATAAGGCCAGATTTTCTTCATCAAAAAAACATATAACAATAGACTGAATATATAAGCTGAGAATGTAGCTGTTTTCTATTCAGCAAGACAGAGATTTGCACAAATGTAAAACAGTGCCACTCCTTGTATTTTTTTCTTTGACTTGTAAAATTGTTATTTTTCCTTAAAAAGTGTTATTTGTGTTTGTATGTAATGGGTTTATTATTTTTAAATGAATTCTTTTTTTTAACGTCTCAGTTTTGTATGGCAAATGCATGCACATACAAAAGCTCTCTATGGTTCTCAATTTTGAAGAATGCAAAGTGGTCTGAGACCAAAATGTTTGAGCACCCCTGCCACGTAAATTGTATCTGAGAGAGTAGATGAACTACTTTTATCAGCTGAACTGAGCTACATCAAAATCACTTTAAAACCTCATTGCTGAGCAGTTTTAACTCAAAATCTGCAAGAGTAAAAACAGCTACCATAATTTTTGGCATTATATAATCATAAATCAAAACTGCACTGAATGAATTCTTTTCTATGTTCATGTCATATACACATAATCATCTTCTCTTTTAAGATATTCTTGGCCAGGCGTGTGGTGGCTCATGCCTGTAATCCCAGCACTTTGGGAGGCTGAGGCAGGCAGATCACAAGGTCAGGAGATCGAGACCATCCTGACTAACACGGTGAAACTCTGTCTCTACTAAAAATAGAAAAATTTGCCGGGCGTGGTGGCAGGCACCTGTAGTCCCAGTTACTCGGGAAGCCAAGGCAGGAGAATGGCGTGAACCCGGGAGGCGGAGCTTGCAGTGAGCCAAGATCGCACCACTGCACTCCAACCTTGGGGACCGAGCAAGACTCTGTCTCAAAAAAAAAAAAAAAAAGCAAAAAGATGTTCTCATATCTCAACCTTTTATTGGCTGTTTTAAGTCACAGAGTCTTTTAGAATCTCATTAAATGTATGGATCCCCCACCTCACCAGACACACAAAACAACTTTGCATAAAATGTCATGGAGTTCATCATGCTCTAGCAGCTTTGTGACTGACCTATTGTATACAGTGAGAAAACCCATCATCCATCAGCTGAAACAAAATACATCTGCTTGCTACAGAGTGGGGACAGGGAGTGGACATCCGTTTTGGAGGCAGTGACATTTCAGCTGATATATAACTGATAAAAAGTAAGCCTCACAGAACTCTGGCCTAAGTACATTTCACATGGAAGAAATAGCAAGTGTCAAAGTCCTGGGGCGGGAGTGAATTTGGTGTATTTCCTTAACTAAAAGGAGAAGTGCTGGAACAGTGTGAGCCAGAGGTAAATGATGTCCAAGAGGCAGACTGGGTCTAGGTCCCATACAGGGTTTTGCAGACCAGAGAGGAGAGTTTGGATTTTTTTCTAACTGCAATAGGAAGCCACTAAAGAGTTTAAGCAGGGTAATGATACGGATATTATTGAGATTTTTCAAAGATCACTGTCAAGAACATAGAAAATGAGAAAGGAGTGATGATGCCAAAAAGGGAAGACCAGTTATGAACCTATCACAATAGTATGAGCAGAGGTAATACAATGATGGCTCAGAACAAACTATAAACTGTAGCAAATTCAGAAAAAAAGGTGGAAAAATTCAAGATTCAGGACACAATTTGAGGCAGAACTGACAGAACTTAGTGACATGGGATAAACAACCTAGCAGTAACTGGTACCATTTATTGTGATGAAGATTACCCAGGCAGGAAAAGGCTGAAGAGGAGGATGATCAAGAGATCAGCTCTGAACATAGCAACTATAAAATGCCTTTTCTTTCATCATCCAAACAGACGTATCTGATAGGCAACAGGTACCATCTCCGACTCCATCCTCCTGCTGGATGTCCCTCATATAACAGATCTGTTTTTCCAGAAACAAAATTGCTACCCAAAACATAGCTGCCTCCCAGACAACCTTAGCCCATGAAGTAATACACAAGGTTATTTTCATATATGTTCAAATTTCCAGATGCAGTTTATTCATGCAAGACAATAACATACTCATAACTGGAAATAATTAAAAGATTAATTCAAAGGAGACTATATTTTCCCTGTCTCATAGGCAATTAAACTAAGACACTTAATCTCTCAACTGATTTCTCCTGAACAAGAAATAAGAGATAAAAATCTAATCTTCTCACCTATAAGCCAGGGCCGTCACATGGATATAATTTCACAATAACTGTTATGCATTGAATTGTGTCCCCCTAAAAGATGTTTGAGTCTTCACCCCTCAGTAACTGTGAATGTGACCTAATTTGGAAACAGGGGATCTAGATGATCAAGTTAAGATGAGATCATTAGGGTGAGCCTTTATCCAATATAATTGGTATTCTTATAAAAAGGGGAAATTTGAAACAGAGAGAAGCATGCACTCAAGGAAGAATGCCAGGTGTACACGAAAGCAAAGACCGGAGTGATGCATCTCCAAGTCAAGGAACAGCAAAGATTGCTAGGGGAAAGGCATGGAGCAGATTCTCCCTCGTAGCCCACAGAAGGAACCAACCCTATCATCATCTTGATCTTGGACTCCCAGCCTACAGAACCAGAGAGACAATACGCTTCTGTTCTTCTAAGCCACCCAGTTTTTGGTTCAGTTGCTATGGCAGACTTAGGAAACTAATATAATAACCATAAGAACTATACTTCCATAATTTTGAGTCTAGACTCAAAACTTAACTAGAAAATTTTAAAACACCTATTTGAATCATATAAACAGTATTATTTTCTTTCCTCAAATTTGGCGAAGCTGTCTGCTAAGCTTTGTAACTTTGGACAAGTCATCCTCTTCGAGCTTTGGTTTTCTTATTTGTAAATTAAGACACAGTTTTAAAGACCAAACTAAGATAACATACAGTAGGTGACTCTGCAGACTTTGAAAGTTACACAAATATCAAGTACCATTATTATCAACAAAATTACATGACTGTTATCTAGTAAAAAATACAGTTGTACTATATACATCAAGCCATAATTACTTACCTACAGAAGATGTGCTCACATCCTCCTAAGCACACAGGCTCTCTCAGAATGTTAGTGCTGTTTGAAGAAATTAAAACAATCAAGACTTGAGTCATTGTTAAATAAACATTTCATACCCAATACTTCATCCAAGGCCCAACACTACCATATTTCTCACTTTCTCAAAGCAGAAGGTATTAGGGATGAATATTTGAAAGGCTGTTACTCCTTGGTTAAATATTATGCCATAACATACCTGCTGATTTTAAATAGTAACTACCAAAGAAAGTTGGAGAAAGGAACAATTTTGTTCAAGTGTCCCTAAACCTCTTGAGGCAAAACCAACTACTGGCTGCTTCTTTTCAACTACTAAGGTGTATCTTCCCCTGAAGTGTAGATCATATACCTCAAAATGTCACCCACACATAGAATGACCATATAATGTATTGTCCAAATGAGAAAACTGAGAGTGAAGAGGAGTCATCATTGAACAGGATACTGGGACAATAAGAATAAACCAGGACTGTCCCAGACAAACCAGGACATCTGGTCATTTTGACTGTAAGAAACCACGGTTTCCCATTTAAAAAAACATGTGCTTCTTACTATGGTAAAGTAGCCACCCATTTTTCAGCTATATTGTGAAAAATGCAGCCATTCTTTCAGTTCA